AAATAACATTACACTGAATCTCTACAATTTTTCATACACTGTGCAACTTTCATACACATACAAGCAATTTCCATATTCCCACCCAGCTAGAAAAATTATCAACGCTAATTTTCAAACCAAGCAAAAGAATGATAGAAAACAAGAATAGTAGAGACTGAGGCAAGTTATATTTGCACCTATCAGCTTTCTTCTGACAGGCTGCTAAGGTGCCAGAGGGGTTGCCAATCTATCATAGTAGGAAGTAGCTTGATTTTCTCAGCATTTGATGCAGTAAATACTAGTCCTTGCCAACTTCTATAGTATTCCTCCACATAACACACTTTTCGCTTTTATCCATAAATTTACAAGCCTTATCCTTATTCTCTTCTTACATAAGGACATGTACCATAGTGCTTCAGATATGATGGGTACTTAAATAATTCAGATATGATTGTTCTGAGTAAACATAGTTGGAATACAAGACCTACTGTTTAATATTTTCTGAGAGTGAAGTTTATTATTACACATATTCATACACACACATATATACAAGTGTAAGGAACTATGTATGGTAATGATGTATTGATTAATTTGACTGTGGTGATCATTATGAAACACGAATACATATCAAATCACCATGTTATATACCTTGAATACCTAAATTTTTTTGTTTATCAAGTGTACCTGAGTAAAGCTAGGCAAAAAAGAAAAAAAAACTACTAAAAGCTTAAAAAACAAAGGAGTGAAGGGTTCACATCATACTAAGCATAAGTCAGAAGATCTCCATTAGAGCATGACTTACTGTTGACTTATTCATTGTAATGGTTGGTAGCCTCTGTTTCATGTAGGAAAAAGTGCAACTTAACTGAAGTGTTGGGGGGGGATATTAAAAAAGGAAGGTAAAAAGGGTATCTTAGAAAAGTATTTTGTGATTTGAAACATTGGTACCATGCCAGCTATTGTCAAACAGAATTATTCTGTGTCATCTTAGCAGCTGAGTGTTCTGACTTCTGAGAAGGAAATTATTTCCTTATTCTTAACTGTACAGTGAAATACATGGAGAAGGTTGGGAAAACTTGAAAGGGTGAAAATAATCTGCCACAGGAGTCATACTGTACCATTAGGACCTTCTGTCAGAACACAATCCAGACTGGTGATGGTTTACAAGATGATCACGGAGCACAGGACCTAATATCAAAGATGGACCTGTGATTGCAGAAATACTCCTCACTAACCTTGACTCCCTATGTAGAGGTCCCTCTGTGCCTCACTTCACGGTGTTGCCAAGTGCACTGACTTCTCAAATATCATTTATAAATAAAACTTTGACCTTAATATTTCAGTAGCATTAATGAAACTAAATAAAAAAAATATCAATTCAAGAAAGGCCAGGTAACAGGGATCAGAATGCAGAACTTTTCCTTGACAGGCTCTGATTAGAAATAAAAAAGTCATAAGGAGTTTAGGGACATTCCTAGTTTTGCAGCAATGTAGGAAAAAAAATTAGTAATAGCATTTGGAAACAGAAGATTTTCTTATAGTGTAGCCCAGTGGTAGAGTCCTTACCTAGCATGAGTGAGGCCTGAGTTTGACCCCCAGCACTGCATAAAACTAAAAATATCTAAAACAAACAAACAAAAACCCCATATCATTTGTTAATTCTTCTTCAGAGTCTTAACAGGCAATTGAAATAAAAATTATAAAGGTTATAAGAAAATTGTTAAAAATTAAACATTTGATTCTTTAAAAATATTAGTAAAATATATCAAGTCCTAAAAAGAGTAATATCAAGCTGAAATAGATCATAACAATATTAAGAAAGAGATGAGGGTTTATGGACCTTAATATTATTGAAAATATAAGAAAATATGACCTACACTTTTACATCTGAAAATTTACACTATAATTTTCTAAATACCAAAGATACCACAATCTGTGTGTGTGGAGTACATACACTTACAGGTCAACTACTTTTGCAAATATAGTCGCAATATTTTTAATAAAAGGGTCAAAAATGAAACCCACCAAAATATAAAAGGGATAATGCATCGTAACTGTGTAATGTTTAATAATTGAAAGATGATTTGGGATTTAAATATTAACCCATGCTAATTTTCACATTAGCAGAAAATAACAAGTATGCAAACAATATAGACTGGGCGGGGCAAACACTAGGTTTAGTCAGGGTTTTTTTTTTGTTGTTTGTTTTGTTTTGTTTTTATTTTTTCCTGCTGTGACTAATGGACATGACAAGAACAGCTATAAAGGAAGAAAAGTTTATTTGGGGGCTCACAGTTTCAGAGGTTTCAATCCATATACAGCAGGCTTCATTCCTTGGGGATAGAGGTTAGGCAGGACATCATGTTGGAAGAATATGGTGGGGGAAAGCAGGTCACATGATCATCAGGAAGAAGAGAGACTCCACTCTTCAGATACAAAATGTATAACTTAAAGGCTGCCCCCCAATGACCCACCTCCTCCAGCTACACCTTACCTACCTTCAGTCACCACAAGGTTAATCCCATCAGGAAATTAATTCACTGACTGGGTTAAGACTCTCACAACCCAATCATTTCTCCTCTAAACCTTTTTGCATTTTCTCACACATAATATTTTCAGGGACACCTCACATCCAACCATATCAACACTTGACATAAAACACAAGCTTTCTTAATATCATAAAGTGTCCAGAATTAATACAGGTAACCTCATGCACAATGGTGAGTGACTGAGAAGTGTTCTGAAGTCTTTCTTAACTCTTACCACATTTACTGGCATTTCACATCCTCAGAAGCAGAGCCTCACACATGGTGTGTGGTTGATGATTGGCATCTGTGCAATGATATTCTTAATGGAAATAAACTATTTTTATTAAATTATGGAAGTAAAAATGTTTTTATTTTATATTGTTATTAGTCACAAATTACTTCATTTTGGACTTGAAGAAGCAGGTGTAATGTGCTATCATGGTACTCATTATAATTCTTCCTGTTTAGCATAAGAATCTTGACAAGAAACTTTGTTTGGGATGTGATTCCTCCACCTTCTATATTTTTGTCCTAAATTTGATCTTCTTACAAACACTCAGGATCAAATCTTACAAGTTCTCACACACTGATTTACTGCACGAACTTTCTGATCAATTTATATTATTGTTACTCTCACTTGGCCTTTCTCCCAATCCCACAGATCTTTGACCTTTCTCAAAGTCTCATAAGATATCCCTGGAATGCAGTGTCCTCATGGTCTCCTCTGAACCCAATGATCTCTTGAAGTTTCAGATTGCACCCTATGTGCAGGAAAACACCCTGACTCCTCTGATTCATCAGAACCTGGTATAGTCTTAACTCTAGAGCACCTCATCTTTATTTTGCATTTATCATAAGATTTTCCATGTTGTACATTTGCATATTGACCCTATAGACATGTCTGCATTCAAAGCTTCTAAAGTCAAAAAATTTTTAAAAAATATTTTTCCAAGATGCTTATCATATTTGGACCTTGTAGATACTGATTTGTTCCTTTTGCCATTTTTTTTCCTTAATGTGAAACACCTTTCTTATTTGCAGAGCTGGGGATAGGATGAGGTAGATGATAAATTTGCATCAAGCACAAAATTCAGAGTAACACTAGTAAAAGAATCCCAAGAATTGAGGAAAATACTTTAATACAATATACTTCTAAATCATAATTAATATAAAATTTCATGATGAAAAAGATATGACACTTTAAATAAAGTCAGGAAGAGCATTACTGATTTTTTTCCTTCTGTCTCACATTCCCATGTTACTCAGTACAGCTGTGCTCATTTATAAGCCAAGCGAAAAATACGGAGATCCAGAGTCTTTCTCTCCTTTCATTTTTCTATTGGTAACAATAACATCAAAGCTAAAGTGATGGAATGACACCAGATACCATATGGAACATCTGAGTGCATTTGATTTTTAAATACTTTACAATTCCAGGGAAGAGGCAGTGATGGTCAGAGCCAACACACTGCAGTCACATGGACTTATTTCCAAATGGTGACTGTTTTATTCTTATTATTAACCAGAAACTCTTAAAATTATGTAAGCTTTAAGATATAGTTTCATAATTTATAAAGAGAAAGGATAGAAATATCTTTCCAGAACTGTTGTGCAGATTCAGGGAAAGAAATAATATATTTAAAGCAAAGGCTGGAAGCACTGTAAAAATCTCACAAGTACGAATATTATGGTTACTAAAACCATTTGTAAGATGTGCTAAAAGAGTTCTTTTCTGGCCTGTGATGAATCTAAAAATGCAGATGAATCCTAAGAGGTAGAAGAAAAATGATCTGTGTTTCTGGGAACTTATGAAGAGCTCAAGAAATAAGGAGCCTGGGATGAGTTCTGAACTCTAGGATTTTTGAAAACTCCTATCAGTTAAAGGGCTTATTTGCAAGAAGAGTAAGCTGCAGTCAGCATGAGACAGGCCTATGGAGCAGGAGGGATGTGCCTCTCCAGAGTGCTGTGGAGCCATGTCTGTGTATCTGTGTGCAAGATATAAAATTTGACTTCTGTAGACCTAGGGGGAAAAATATACAGCATTTGAAAGTCCTTAAAAAAATTGGGGCTGGGGATGTGGCTCAAGCGGTAGCACGCTCACCTGGCATATCTTCGGCCCGGGTTTGATCCTCAGCACCACATACACACAAAGATGTTGTGTCCGCTGAAAACTAAAAAATAAATATTAAAAATTCTCTCTCTCTCTCTCTCTCTCTCTCTCTCTCTCTCTT